GCCAGCGTTTGAAGTACGTCCACGCAGGCTACATACTGGAAAGCTTCTTCGTCGAGGTGGCCGACATTAATAAGTTCACTCCGGGTTTTTCTCGTAAAACTTACGTACATGATTGTAAATGTCCCACCTGAAAGGTTCACAAGTTACCAATTTAATCCTATCTGACTAAAATAATAAAACGTTAAAGTGACCAAAAGAATGCAGCATTTTATGAGAACTGGTACCGATTTTACGATGTCAGATTGTGAGATTACCGAAGATCTCGAAATAGGGGGTACTAAAGGAAATTGTTATACTCCCTCTCGTAGTAAACTTAAGCTGAAGCTCGGTATCAAAACTTTCATCAGGCCTATGATATATTTTAAATGTATAAACGAAAACTAAGACATTTTTCTATTTGCAGAAACATTCCGACAAACAGCACCCGTCACTCATCTAATAAGGCCACGTGTAGGCCATGCCTGCCGATGGCACGTGCGACTGGGCGCACAATCGATATGACTGTGACGTTTGAACTGAAAACCCGATCGATCCACCTTCCCGGGTACTGACAGTTACTCTGCTGAAGAAATATGCTACGCGCAGATACTCTCTGGGTCCTGTCTAGGATCTTGGGAAGAAACATGGCATGGATTGTAAGCTGTATGCTAGTTCTAGAACTAGCCGTTAACTGTATCGAGTACGCTGTTCTGAAATCAAAATCCGCGAAATATGTTGCGAGTAAGTATATACTGTTTAACTAGTTTTCATTCCTCCTGCAATATTTGCCATCGTATACAGTGCACTTGGGCGGAATAATATAGATTCTAACCTTTGAATTAAATAGCTCTACAGTTTATTTCCCATGCACCCACGTAGGATGTCTAGTAAACACATGTAGTCTGCCTGATCATTGACTTCATTCACATTTTTTCCATTTATTTTACTTTAAATCAGCTTCCTGCAAGTAAACTAATGATCACAGATTTCATGCACTTATTTTCACCTAAGTGTCTTTGGGTCGGTTTCCTGTAAGCTGTTTTCTTCTTTCAGTAATGGCCGGTATATACCATCGCTTCCGGCTATATCGTCGGAAGTACTGT